ACACAAAACAGAAGACTCTCCCACCATCAAACGTAGACCAGGCTGATTTGTTGTTTTAATGAGACCAGGCCTCACTTTGTAACCCTTGACTGTCTTGAAACTCATTTTGTTGACTAGGCTGGCCTGAGACTCATACAGATCTAGCTATCTCTGCCTCCTGAGTGCTGGGGTTAAAGACATTTTCCACCACACCCTGCCAAGCGTTTTAATGTTGATAATTTTGATGAAGAGAGTGTTTAGAATAGTTTTCTGTTAAATGTTGGAGGTTAATTCCATTTTCTTGGGATTTGGCATTAAAAATCCGTTTGTTTCTATAATAAGCTTTTATAAGTGTATCAGCCTTTTTTTTTGCTATGTAGATATGAAAATGTTGTACTTAAGTAGTGCTTACTTCTCCAGGTATTAGTCTGATTAAATGGAATTTTCTTTTAAGATAATTAACTTAAATTTCTGTCATCATATATGATCTACCTAGTTTCTCAACATTTACATTGACACTACAATAATAAAATTTTTGCATTTCCTCACCAAATGATATGTAATCCCTTCAGATGTCTTCATCATATATTTTTATATTTGTCATTATGCAAAATATAGCTGTTTTTGTGCTTATTTGTTTTTTTTAAATTTTTTAAAAAATATTTATTTATTTATTATGTACACAATATTCTTTTTTTCTCTTTTTTAATATATGTTTTTTATTGAGAAAAGGAAAAAAAAAAGTTTCCCCCTCCTCCCAGCCTCCCATTTCCCTCCCCCTCCTCCCACCCTTCTCCCCCTTCTCCAACTCCTTTCCCCCTCCCTCTCCAGTCCAAAGAGCAGTCAGGGTTCCCTGCCCTGTGGAAAGTTGAAGGTCCTCCCCCCTCCGTCCATGTCTAGGAAGGTGAACATCCAAACTGGCTAGGCTCCCACAAAGCCAGAACATGAAGTAGGATCAAAACCCCGTGCCATTGTCCTTGGCTTCTCATCAGCCCTCATTGTTCGCCATGTTCAGAGAGTCCAGTTTTATCCCATGCTTTTTCAGTCACAGTCCAGATGGCCTTGGTGAGCTCCCAATAGATTAGCCCCACTGTCTCAGTGGGTGGGTGCACCCCTCGTGGTCCCGACTTCTTTGCTCATGTTCTCCCTCCTTCTGCTCCACATTGGGACTTTGGGAGCTCAGTCCAGTGCTCCAGTGTGGGTCTCCGTCTCTATCTCCATCCATCACCAGATGAAAGTTCTATGGTGATATGCAAGATATTCGTCAGTATTGCTCTAGGATAGGGTCATTTCAGGTTCCCTATCCTCATCTGCCCGAGGAACTAATTGGGGACATCGCCTTGGGGTCCTGGGAGCCACTCTAGGTTCAAGTCTCTTGCCAGCCCTAAGGTGGCTCCCTTAACTAAGAATTGTGCTTCCGTGCTCCCCTATCCAACCTTCCTTTATCCCAATCATCCTGTTTCCCCAAGTTGCCCCCATCCTCCCCTTCTCACTTTTCTCTCCCCATCTCCCCTTACCCCCATCCCACCCCACCCCCAAGATCCCACTTTCCTCCCCGGCAATTTTGTCTACTTCCCATAGCCAAAAACTATATGTTTTTCCTTTGGTTCACCTTCTTATTTAGCTTCTTAGGATATCCAATTATAGACTCACTGACCTTTATTTAAAGCTAGAAACCAATTATGAGTGAGTACATCCCATGTTTATCTTTTTGGGTCTGGGTTACCTCACTCAGGTTAGTATTTTCTATTTCCATCCATTTGCATGCAAAATTTGAGAAGTCATTGTTTTTTGCCGCTGAGTAGTACTCTACTGTGTATATATTCCACACTTTCTTCATCCATTCTTCCATTGAAGGGCGGTTGTTTCCAGGATCTGGCTATTACAAATAATACTGCTATGAACATAGTTGAACAAATGCTTTTGTCATATGATCGGGCATCTCTTGGGTATATTCCCAGGAGTGGTATGGCTGTGTCCAGGGGTAGGTTGATTTTAATTAAGAATTTTATTTAATACAATCTTTTTTTCATTTTACATAGCTATCCCCAGGCCAACTCCCTCCCCACCTCCCTTCTTACCCTTCCTCTCACTCCACCCCATATCTACTCCTCAGAAAGGGTAAGTCTTCCCACAGGGAGTCTACAAATTCTGACACTTCATTTCAAGACAAGATTAAGTCCCTCCCCCTGTATTAGGCTTTGCAAGGTATCCTTCCAAAGCAAATGTACCCTAAGACACCAGTTTAAGCACTAGAGATAGATCCTGATCCAACTGCTAGTGGCCCTACAGATTGTCCAAGTCTCACCACATCTAATGTCCACAAAATCATAGAAGAAAATTTTCCCAGCCTAGAGAAGGATATGCCTAGAAGATCCAAGAAGCTTATAGAATACCAAATAGACTGGATCAGAAAAGAAGTCACCTCACTATATAATAATCAAAACATTAAACAAACATGCAGAATAAAGAAAGAGTATTAAGCACTGCAAAGGAAGAAGGCCAAGTAACATATAAAGGCAGACTCATCAGATTTATTCCCGGCTTCTCAGTGAAAATTCTGAAAACCAGAATGTCCTTCTTAGTAATGCTGCAGACATTAAGAGATTACAGCAAAACTTTAACATATGGAGAAAACAAGATGTTCCATGACAAAACCAAATTTTTTACCTGTCCACAAAGTCACTATGACAGAAGTACTAGAAGGTAAAGTCCAACCCAAGAAAGTTAACTGCACCCATGAAAACACAGGGAACAAGTAATCCCACTCATTACATTAACAAACCCCAAAGAAGGAAACACAAACACTAGTCCCGAAAAATAAGAGGAATAAACAATCACTAATCATTAATGTCTTTTAATGTCAATGGTGTCAATTCACCTATAAAAAGACACAGCCTAACAGAATGGACACAAAAACAGGAACCATCCTTCTGCTGCATACAAGAATCATATCTCATCCTCAAGGACAAACAAACATTACCTCATATTAAAGAGTTGAGAAAAGCTTTTCCAATCAAATGGACCTAAGAAGCAAAGCAGGTGTAGCTAACCTAATATCTAACAAAAATAAACTTTAAAAGATGGAGAAGAACACTTCATTCTCATCACAGAAAATTCCATCAAGATAAAGTCTAAATCCTCAACTCTATATCCCCTAAATACAAGAACACTGACATATGTAAAAGAAACACTACTAAAGCTGAAATTATAACCAAACCCCAAACACTAATAATAGGAGGAGTGTTCAATACCCTACTCTCACCAATGCACATGTCCACTAGACAGAAACTTATGAGATAAATGAGGACTTACAGATGTCATGACTCAAATGGACTTAATAGGAATCTACAAAATAATTTATTCACACACAGAAGAATATACCTTCTTCTCAGCATCTCATTGAACCTTCTCTAAAATTGAACACAAACTTGGTCACAAAAGATTTCCTCCTCAAATAAAATTGGAATAACCCTCTGTATCTTATCTAACCACTGTGGCTTAAAGGTAAATTTAATAGCAACACTAATCACAGAAAGTTTGCAAACTGATGTGTAATGCTTTAGTGAATCACCCCTGACTCAAAGAAGAAATAAAGTTAGAAATTAAAGAGTTCCTAGAATTCAGTGAAAATGAATGCACAGCATACCCAAACTTATGGGTTTGTGCTTGTTTTTAGCCTTCCTTTGTGTAACTTCTGTTCATCAACTCAACTATAAAAGCTCCAAATAAACTTTATAATATTAATTTTAGTTACACATTTTGGTAGTTTTTCACATCAAAATTACAATTTCGAAAACTGTCATGATTTTTTTGTTTTTGCTGCTTTTTAAAAAACTATCATTTTTCTCCTGAATTATGGTAAATTGCTGCTGTCATCTAATCTTGTTGTCTAAATTCTTTTACTAGTTATTAGGATTTATTCTTATTTATCTTTTTCTGATCTTATTTTCTTACTTGAAATAGGTATCTCAGAGAGCATTCTTCTGTTTATCCAAGACTGTATTCATTTAAAACTTTTTGGTGGATACATTGCTAACATTCTTGAGTGTTTTATGTTGTATTTGTTTGTGTGTTCATATGCATCCATGTGAACATGCAGTGTGCTTGTGCTTGTAGAGGTGAGAGGTTAAAATCAAGTGTCTTCTATCTCTCCATATTGTACTTTGAGTTATTGGACCCTGGAACTCAATAATTAACATTAGTTCCATGGAGGACCCACATTGTCTCTGTATGTTTCCATTACTGAATTTGTGATTACATCCTCTTTTTCTGGGTGATTTTTGCATTATTGCTGCAGATCTGAACTTTAGTCTACATTTTTACATGGCCAAATTTTACTCTGCCAAATAAGCTATAACACCACCCTTTCTTTATAGTCTATTCAGGTACCTTGCCATGCCTCTTGCATTTTTGAAATTAATACCAGATTGATTAAAGTATAGAAGTGTTTGACACATATGAATATAAACTTTTCATTCAGGAGCCTTGCCTGTTGTTAGTCAAAATACCAACATACTTTTAGTATTTTGTGTCCTTCATCATTAACACTGCTTAGAATCTTTCTGTTTTCTGTCTCTTTCTTTCATTAAAAGTAGAAAGCCCTGTAAATTGATATTGATAGACTTATTTTCCTGAAGAAATAACATAAAATATAAAGAATATTTGATTGTTAAAGTTTCAAAAATTAAAATTAAATTTATTACAGAACTCCTCAACAGGTGATTTTTTTAATTAACCTATTGTGCAACTTCTTAAGTACAGGTTTATATCTTTAGCCCTTAAAGTAAAACATTGAAGAAAATTAGGTTGTTTCAGGAGAGTTCATTAACAAAATGTGTTTGCAGATCATTTAATTATAAAGTATATTTATATTAGAATTCTTATATATAAAACTATATCTATATAATGTCACATATTCATTGTAGCTTGTTATCTTCCCCTGTTGGGATATGTCATTTTGGGAAACAAGATATTCATTGATGGAATTTAATTTATTTATAACTATTTTCTTTTTTCAGGTGCTATTCTAGCATTGGGAAAGTTCAGGATGCCTTTGTATCTTATAGGCAATCCATTGATAAATCAGAAGCAAGTGCAGACACGTGGTGTTCAATAGGGTAAGCCTATCTCCCTATCTCCTTCAATACACAAACAAATATTATCTCATACATTTTTAAATTTATGTGCATGATTCTTTTTTGTTCATATTTTTATTTAAACAAATTGGTTTTTATTTTTTATACCACTCCCTTCTCTTGCTGTCTCCTCTTCTCATCCCCTACCCACTCCTTCAAGGGGATAAGGCCTTGGTGAATTCATGAGGTCTTTCATACCAATTTGAGGTAGGAGCAAGCATCTCCTTCCTCACCCTCACCCCAATCAAGGCTGTTTATGAGCAGCTGGCATCAGTTTTCTTGGTGGTGTCATGGAGATAAAAACTATATAGAATTGTGTTAAATTACCTGGCTCCTGCCAGTATCTTCTCCATGAAGTTAGACTATCGGATCTAGTTGCCAAAGCCGTGACTTTAATTTTAGCCATATTGCTTAGTAAATTAAAAACTTCATGTGATCAGTAAAAGATATTTATATAGTAAAGACACACTCTGACAAAAAAAAATCTCTAAAAGGTTATAGTGTGGTTAAAAATATATGTAAGTTTGGGAGAAAAGAGAAGGATAGAGAAAGTCTTTAAAAAAAGAAAGAAAAACATAGGTATGTGGCACATGCCTGTAATTGGGAGGCAGAGGCAGGTGAGATCAAGGGCAGCCTGGTCTACAGAGTGAGTTTCAGTATAGATAAAGACAGAGAGAGAAAATTTGTCTCAAAAAACTAAAATTAAAAATAAAAGAAATTGAGTTAAATGTAAAAACACGTAAAGATTGAAAATACACAGAGTCTGGGTATCATATGTTATTGTTGTTTTGAAGTGTTTGCTCAGGAAGGAGCAACAGCTTCTAAAAGACATTTGATTATAAGTGCTGCTGGATGAATCCAACTATATGTTTTGGAAATACCTTGAATTCAAAATTTATTTCAAAAGGTATGTTAGTTTGGTGAAGAGGTTTTGCTTTTGTTTTCTCAGGAAAGATGTTTTGGATTCATTCTGGGTTAAGAAAAATCAGGTTTGCTCGTGGATGAAAAATCTGTGATAGGAATGAATGGCCCAAATGATCCAACATTTCAGAGCACCTCTGTTCTAGTTTCCTCTGAGGTCTACATCTAAACAGTCTCAAGACTTCCGGCTGAGATGATCCGCCTCAAAGAATACTGTAATCAGGGCTTGACCATAATGCTAAATTTTCTTGGGACTGTAAGATTATCAGCACCCCCAATTATAAGGATGTAGCCTAGAAAAACTACTCACAAATTCCTGATAAATGGATGTTTGGTGGCAGAACCTCTTAAAAGAGCTACAAGGTTTTTATTTTTTGCCACTAATGCTGAGTCAGGAAGCCTCTCTTAAAGGGGCTGTGGCTTGCCTCTAGAAAACAGCTCATATGAGAACATGCTTCTACCGAGAAGTCATGATTAACTCTGTTCTTTTATGTCTAGAGTCCTTTCGCAGTCTTCTCAGGTTTTATATGGATGAAGTTGAGCCACATTGGTGCCATTTGTAGCTGGAAGTTTCTGTCCTGTGTGGCCCTGCAGCTGTTCATCCCCTCCCAAAAAAAACCTGATCATGTAGCTAAACATAGACAATAATTTAATTTGTAATTAACTTAGGGCTAATTTAAGTTGTAACAACTAGTTAATAATAAGCCTAAGCTAAAAAGCCAATTAGTTTATACTTAATAAATGCCTCTATGTGTCTGAGTGGTGACTGCAGACTGCGCAGAATTCTCCTCATCTGGTTGTTCTGCTTGTACTTCCTGCCTGACCTCTGGCAAGCCAATACAAGTGACAAATCTTTACAGGGTACAAGATTGTTATTTCACAGAAGTTATCCTTTGATTTATGTCTAATATCCACTTAGTGAGTATATACATATTTGTCTTTCTTTTTGGTGACAACACTTAGGATATTTTTGTGGTGGTGGTGGGTGTAACTCTTTTTTTACTGTTGAGGAGCACTCCATTGTGTAAATGTGCTACTTTTTTTTTTTTTTTTAATCTATTCTGTGGTTGAAGGGCATCTAGGTTGTTTCTAGGTTCTGGCTACTGTGAATACTGCTGCTATGAACATGGTTGAGCAAATGTTCTTGTGGTATGATTGGAGGCACAGGATTCTTGAAAGACACGGTGCAGTAATATAAAATTAAAGTACTCAATTTTTCTTTACTTTTAGAAATATTTTATTTTATGTGTATGTGATAATTTGCCTTCATGTATATTTAGGCACTACAGGCATGCTCTCAGAAACCAAAAGATGTTAGTTTATGGAACTGGAGCTGCAGATTGTTGTGAACTTCATTTGGTTGCTGGGAATCAAACCCAGGTCCTCTTCAATAACAACCAGTCCTTTTTCTTTTTAGTTTTCCTTTTTTTTTTTTTTTTTTTTTTTTTTAGAGAAAACAATCCAGTTCCTACTATTCCTTCCCTCCCCCCATGCCCTTTACCTTTCTTCCCACCCAACACCCATCCACTTCCCTGCAAGGCACATTGCTCTCAGGAACTTCCAAGGCCCTTCCCACTGTATCCAGGCAGGACAAGGTATCCATTCACTCAACCTAGCACCCCCCTCTCTCGAGTGCTTTTTTTTCAACCCCTGCTTTTATCAACTTACTTATTGTATGTGTGTGTGTGTGCGCGCGCGTGCCTGTGTGCTTGCTTGTGTGTGCCTTTCTGCCTGCCTAAATGTATGTATGTATACTGTATGATTGCAGGTACCTGTGGAGGCTAGAAGACAATGTTGGATCCCATAGGATTGGAATTACAGAGTGTTCTGTTTCAGATGTTATGTATGTACTTTCTGCTGCAGGAGTAGAAATTGCTCAGCCATTGAGCCATCTCTGAAGACCCTAATTAGTCTGTTTAAAACAATACAACCAATCATTATTTTTCTTTCTAGTGTGCTCTATCAACAGCAAAATCAGCCTATGGATGCCTTACAGGCTTATATATGTGCTGTACAGTTGGATCATGGACATGCAGCAGCCTGGATGGACTTAGGCATTCTTTATGAGTCCTGCAACCAACCTCAGGATGCAATTAAATGCTACTTAAATGCAACTAGGAGCAAAAGCTGTAGTCATACATCTGCACTTACATCAAGAATTATGTTTTTAAAGGTAACTTCTTAAAATAGAGTATTATAAAAGAACAAATTTCCTAATACAATAAGTGACAGATAAATGGTCGAAAAGTTGTTTAAACAATGTTTATATTTTTAGTTAACATTTGTTTTATGTTGGTGTGCTGTGTATTACTTGTGAGCTACTGGAGTAATTTGGAGATTAGAGGATAATCTATGGGAGTCAATTCAATTCTTCCAGTATGAGGCATTACAACAGCTCTTTTGATTTTTATTTGTTCTATACTTTGTAGTATTTTATACTGTTTCTTTATTTTTAATTCTAATAAGATAGGTAGTATTTAATACATGTTCTGTTGCACTTACATATTGTGATGCCTATCAATTTACATATTGTACATTTAATAGGCCTTTTTTCAATATGGTATCTTTCTTTATTCCTAAGTTTTCATAAACATAGGAAAATATGTGAACCCTTATTTTCACTTTTGATTGAAAAGTAATGGAAGAATAAGAAATCAGAAAGTTGGAAGATGACTGTGTTCTTATTCTCCTCAATATATATTAGTTGCCTTCTTTCTGCTTAAATATCAATCTAAAACTCCCAATTTAGAATTATATTTCTGTAAGAATTAAATACCTATAACACTGAGGAAGATTTACTTGACTTTATCTTACTTAAATAAGATTGTGTTAAATTTGCTTTTTATATAATTTTTCCTAGGCTCAGTTGTGTAATCTTCCACAAGGTAATCTACAGAATAAAACTAAATTACTTCCTAGTATTGAGGAGGCGTGGAGCCTACCAATCCCTGCAGAGCTTACCTCCAGGCAGGGTGCCATGAACACAGCACAGCAGGTGAGAAGATATCTTCCGTAGGTGCCCAGCTTTTAACCGTTTTTCATTTTTATAATAATCAAAAACTTATTTTACTGAATAGTTTATTAGAGTCTTTAACATGTGAAGTCCTTTAAATTAAAATATTTAATTGTGAAGGAATTTTAGATCAATATGGAACTCCCTTTGATTTGGGAATTTACTTGGGGTTAACATTTTAAAACTTTTATGTATGTTCATGATTTGGAAGAGATAGCTATTGGAAAGAGGTTTCTCGATTTAGAAACTTTTTTTTTTTTTTTATTGGTTTTATGAGACAGGGTTTCTCTGTGGTTTTGGAGCCTGTCCTGGAACTAGCTCTGTAGACCAGGCTGGTCTCGAACTCACAGAGATCCACTTTCCTCTGCCTCTGAGTGCTGGAATTAAAGGTGTGTGTCAACTTTCCTGGCTTTGAAACAGTTTTTTAAAGGAGCTAATATTTGTCCCATGATAATTATAAATGAATATAATCATATTCTTACCTTAAAATCTGGGATTTTTTTTAAACTTAAAATACTGATGATTCAAATATTGGACCTGTATTAGACTCTAGTCAGATACCATTGTCACAGCAATACTTGTTACACTCAGATTAAAATGACTTGCTCACTTCTTCCAAAACCAAACCAAAACAAAACAAACAAAAAACAACAAAACAACACTTCCACGTAAGGTGTAACAGATACAAGTTCGTCCCAGAAACTAAAGCAGTACATTTGTTTCTGATAATCCTTGCATTAGATTATATACAGAAGAATGAGATAAACTTATGTTCATTAGTACTTTTTTCAGATTTTACTGCTTTTTACTTATTATCAATTTATTATTATTGCTATTACTGTTACTATTACTATTACTACCCTTTTAAAAGTATTTTTTATCATCTCTGTTCATTGACCTTGAAATAAATTGATTGTTTACATACAGTAGGCAGTCTTAATAATACTTTTAAACATAACTAAGATACTAACCTTCTAAAAATTTATAGGTTTGGAAAAGTGTATTTAGATTGTTTTGTAGTATTTAAAAGCAATATCCCACGTATTTGTAAATATTTTGATTAATAGTCAATGTTGTCTCATTAGACATAATTGTGTATGGATTTAAGCAAATATTTCTAATATTAAAAATAAAATTTCTCCAGAATGTTTCTGATAGCTGGAATAGTGGCCAGCCAGACTGCTTTACATCACCCAGTACAAGTTTATACACAGTGCTTCACAGCACAGAAATTACAGGTATGAAGAATTTTGTTTTAGTCAGTTAATTAATTACTTATTGTTGTGATGAAACACAACTTATAAAGCTAGAGACTCATGCTTCTGTTCATTCTGTAGAGATGAAACAGGGGTTAAAACTAACACAGCAAAGACAGGCTGGAGAAGAGCTGACATAACCTGGCGCCGTGTTTGGAGAACTTTTTCTGACGGCGTTTGTAAAAATGAGAAGTTAGTTACCATTCAACTCTAATGATCACACTGTTTAGGAAAAGTTTGCATAATTCATTTTCTGTCCAGGATCTAATCCGGGCAACACAAGATTATAGGAAGCATATGCCCAGGATTTTCTGAGTGTCCTATTTTAACTATTCTGTTTTATAAGTCAAACAATATGTAAATTGAACCCAGAAATGTCAATATTTTGGGATCTGAACAGTATCCCTCAGACTGTCAAGAGGATATAAAACCATCCATTGCTGTGGCTCACCACTGGAGACACTTCCATGGTACAGTAAAGGCTCTTCAGGGCCCTACACTGAAGGAAAGGGCCACTGCTCCTTCTGCTCTGTCTCCTCACACACAGGATGAATGGCTCCTGCATGCTGGGTGACAATGATCTGTACAACCCCCAGGTTACTGGTCTCCACAGTGCCTGAGCTATCCAGTCTTGCCAAGTCACAGCAAAAGCCTAACCAGGACGTCTTTTTTTTTTTTAATTACAAAAAATAAACAAAGAACAAAATACCACAACTGGGTTAAGTTTATCTGTACAGCAGTCTAGGAACACACCAGTCCATGCAGATGGCCGTCCAGGGATCACTCAGACTCCAATGACACCTTGGCAGACAGAGGCCTTAATTTTGGAGCCCTCACAGGTCCTGTACACCCTGGGAACCTGCCACGCATGCGGTGGCCTATGCCTGAACCTTGGCTTTGGTCTTTAGGAGACAGAGCCCAAGAACCCTGGCAACATGCTCATGGGCATGCCTCCTAAGCTCAGGACAGGTGATATACAGGACAGCAGGACTCACAGTGATGCCCTTTGGATTCTTGAGATAAACTTTCTTGGATGCCATGAAGGTCTTGATAGACTTGGCATGCATCCTCATGCCTGGGCATTTTGCCCTGCATCTTGTCAGGACTTTATTATGCTTCCTGAAAAAAAAAAAAAAGCATGTTCGCTCTGTGGACTGGAGAGGAAGGGGGAGAGGAGTGGGGGGAGGGGGAGAAGGGTGGGAGGAGGGGGAGAAGGGTGGGAGGAGGGGGAGGGAAATGGGAGGCTGGGAGGAGGTGGAAACTTGTTTTTTGTTTTATGTTTTTTTTTCTTTTCTTAATAAAAAAAATTATAAAAAAAAAGCATGTTCTTCAGGAAAAAAAAGTAAACACAACTTATATGGGAAAGAAAAGAAAGAGAGGAGAAAGACAGGAAAGAGAGAAAGAGTGTGTTTATATATGTGAGGTAGGAGGGCAGGCTTACTATTTTAAGTAGGTAAGAGACTATTATGGCAGGGAGGCATGATGGCAAGCCTGAGGTTGAAGCAAAATGCTGAGAACTCACATCCTTAGCAATCCAGAAGCAGAGAAAGTATACAAATGGCATGAGAATTTGACATCTAAAATTTTTACTCATGCCTTGATCTTTCAAAACAGTGTCATCAATTGAGAACCACATGTTTAAATGTCTGAGACTGAGGGGGATGTGTCATTCAAATTTGAATTATGTCTATTCGCCATGTGCATGCCTAGTACCCGACGAATCCATAATGGGGCAGGGTGGGGCAGGGGAAAGATCCCCTGGCACTGGAATTCTGAGTAGTGCATTACCTTATTTGTATTGAGAATCAAACCTGGGTACTCTGGAAGAATAGCTGTGCCTCTTAACCACTGAGCCCTCTCTAGCCCTCATGCTCATTTTTATTATGTGGTGGTTATCACAAATTGAGGTATTTTAATGAATTGGTTAACTTGAAGACTTCTATAACATGATTTTTAAAAAAGATTATTTTTACTTATGTGTACTTAAAATTTTTTTTCTGTGTACCACCAGCATGCTTGATTTCTTTAGAAGCCAAAAGAGGACATTGGTTAGGGTGCTTGGAATTGGACCATGCTCTTAACCCCTGAGCCATTTCTTCATCCCTAAATTTCTAATAATTACATAATACCTATTATTCAACTGCTTTTCTTGACAAGAATGGGAAGTTTTCTGTAAAACCTTCTTCCATTTTCAATTTTATTTTAAAAGACCTACTTGTGTTTGTGTGTGTGTGTGTGTGTGTGTGTGTGTGTGTGTGTGTGTGTGTGTGAGTGAATGTACAGGATAACCATGTGCCTATAGGTGGAATTAAGATAAACTTTCTAACCTGGGTGTTGGGAACTGAGCTCAAGTTGTCTGAAAAATTGCAATGCTCTTAGCTCCTTAGTTATGACTCTAGTCACTATAATGTTTGCTTTGTTTTCTTAGACAAGAGGTTTTATTACTCTGGCAGGCCTAGAATTTACAATGTAGACCAGTCTGGTGTTGAACTCTATTCTCCTCCCTCTGCTCCCCAATGTCTGGCATTAAAGGCATCACACTACACCTGACATGTGAATTAACATTCAGTACATGAAATTTATTAATCATTTTCTACATTATACAAGCACTTTTTTTTTTGTCTTTGAAGATAAGACAAACAAGAGTTGATCAAGTCCAAACTTTTGGAATACTTAATGGATGACCAATAGCTGACACATCACTGCCTACAAACTCTGTCCAGTAACTACTTGCAGCTCTGATGAGAGTATCTAGTATCTATCTGTCAGCCTGGAGTTCACCCTGCTGGTTTTGAATAGTCTTTGTCAAGTGGACCTTTCTTTGCAGGCTATGGTCCTTTGGGCACATCAAAATCTCTAGGGATTACAAATAGTACTGTGACAGGCAATACTTATTTTATGGGAAATGGAAATAATGGAAATGTGCCTTACTTGTAGCAAAATACACTTATTCTACCTCATAATTGCACAAATATGACTACAGGAGGGCCATGGAGAATACAACCATCTAACTCTGCTCAGGTAAAAGAAGGACTAGCAGTTTTATCAGCCCTTAAACAAATAGTTTATCTTTATTTGATGATTTTCAGAAAATAGGGTATGGTCTTAGAAGTACCATTAAATAATTCATAGTGGGGTAAAAAATCTACAGGCTTTTTTATTCCATCATGCCTTCTTGACATAATGAAGCCATTCAGTTTTTTTTACTTTCTTTCCAATATTCAATAACTTATAAAAGATCTTTAGTTTTTCATTGTGAAAAGATACTTTATTTCATGTCTTAGTCCAGTCACAGACTAATATATTTTCTAAGCATGATTATGAACTTTAGTGGATTGAACAGGCTGTGATTGTATTTCCCACATGAGATCAGTACTGTGCAGGATTTTTATACACATTTATTCTAGTAGGGGAATTGCTAATCTGTTTCAGTTGTAAATTATAACATGAATGTCTACGTAGTGGCCTAAATTTTTGAGAACTTCGAAGGAAGCCTTTTTTTTGTTTGTAGATAACATATAAGGAAGAGTGGCCAAAATGATAAAGTTTTGTGAATATTTTCTGAATCTAAAGTTGAGTTAATATGTTGTTATTGTACGGACATGTAGTAATTAGGGCGGCGGGGCTGCATTCCCAGCACCCCGGCCACCTGCTCGGCTAGCTTATGCCCCAAAATAATTACACAGACACTGTATGCTTTTAAGCACTGCTTGGCCCTTTAGCTCT